AACCAACCTCAGCCTCCGGGAGCCCCGAGGAGGGCCAGGCCCAGTCTGGGGTGTGGACAGGGGTATCTCAGCCTCTTCCAGGGTAGGGTTAAGCCTCAGGCCCCTTCTGACGACCTCGGGAGCTACAGAGCAAGTCTGTGGATCTGTGGTGACCTTCTTGGGGAGATAGGCCTGCAGACCGGTGTGTCTCCGCCTGCATGGCCCATGTCCTCCTTACCTGGGCGCTGTCTCCCCAGGGCCTGTGTTTCTTTTGTGACTTAGGAAATTTTCAAACACACATGGAGAGAGAATTACACAACCAGTCCCCACATACCTGTCACCCAGATCCAACAGTGGTCACTGCAGGGCCACTCTCATCAGTTACCTACTGCCATGTAACAAACATCCCCAGACTTAAAACAGCAGTGGCTTAAGAGAGTGACCTTTGTACATTTTCTCCCAACTCTGTGCGCTGCCAGGGCTCGGCCAGGTGGTTCCTGAGCAGCTCATGACACCAGCTGGGGCTGCTGTCACCAGGTGGGGACTTGCCTGGGCTGCATGTCTGGCCTGGCCCACAGGGCAGGTATTGGGGGCTGGGCATCGGCTGGGAGCTCAGCTGGGTCTCTGCCAGGCGGTCTACACCCGGGCTGTCCCTGTGGCTTGGGTGTCTCAGCATGGTGGTGGGGTTCAGAGAGGGAGCCTTCCTGAGAGCAAGTCTTCCCAGTTGGAGGAAGAGGCCACCCAGGATCGGAAGAGCTGAGTCCCAGGACAGGTACCGCCTCACTTCTCTCGCCCTCCTTTGGTCCTGCGATCTCAGGGTCACGGCGTTAAGGGGGGGGAATCAATGTGTCCTTCAGTGCAGGGGTGGGGGGGTGTGCAAGGTAGGGAGGAAGAACTTGCAGCCGTCTTTAACTTCCCATTGTGATCAACAAACGATTGTTGAATATGAAACTGAATTCCATAGACATGCCTCAAGCAGGGAATTAGCTCCTGGTGAGGACTGGGGGGTTGTGAAAGGAACAGTCTCTCCCCTCCCCAAGCAGCACTGCTCCCCGGCCTCCTTGACAGCTTGTGGAGACCCTCTGGGCCCCAAACCCTCCAACACAGCGTGTGACTGGTGGTGCTCTAGCGGTGAGGGGAGGTCACACCATGGTGACGAGGAAGGCCTGGCTTCTCAGACCCGCTCAGGGGCTTCTGGAAGGCCAGTCTCCAGGGTGCCCTGTCTCCCACCTGCTGCCCCGGCTGGAGGCTCCCAAGCACCCTGTTCACAGGTGTCCTGGACTGAAGACCCCCGCTGAGTCCCACTGCCCCGATGTCCTTCCAGCCTCAGGAGGTGTCCGGGGCAACCACTGTCTTCTCACCCTGCCTAACCCACTCTGGTCCCCTCCCTGGCACGGCCCCCGTACCCCCTCCACCACCATCGTCACCCCCGCCACCCTTTGCTGACAGCTAGAAGGGGCACAGGCGGGAGACACTGCAGACAGAGCCACCCCCACCCTGCTCTGGCAACCTCTCCAAGTCACTCCCTCCCCAGCAACTCCACGGGCTTGGCATTTGGGCAGATGGCTCCCTTTAGGAATGCGTATGGTCCCCCGTCCCCAGAAACCGTCTGAGGACTTGCGGTTCTTCATCGGTTCTCCCAAACCCTGATGTGTTCCATGAGTGTGTCTGGAGACCCTGCCCCAGGCCGAGGAAGTGAGGCCAGCACGGCAGACCGGTCCCTGCCCTTGGAAGCATCCCTGCTAGGGATACCCAGTCATTGCACCCACCAACCCACGGCAGCCCACAATGCGCCTGGCAGAGGGACACATGCTCAGAGCCACGAGAGTCTGGAAGAGCTAGCTGGACAAGAGAGGCGAAAGGACATCTCATGAGGAGGAGCCATTCTACAGAGCTGGTCCCTTTTCCTTGGGCAGAAACCCAGACGAGCTTCCTTGACACTTTACCTGGCTGCCAAGAAAATGATGTCCAAGTGGGTGCTCTCTCTTTTAAAAAAAAACAAAAGCTCACTTTATCTTGGAAAATTTCAAATACATACAAAAGTAGAATAGTATAATAAGCCTTCATGTAAGCATTACTTAGCTTCAACAGTTATCAGCATTTTTTATTGTTTTCATCTCCATCAGCCCCTCCTGTCCTCACTCTGCCACCTTTTTATTTTCCTCGTCTTTGGTTTTTTTTGGCCTCACCACGAGGCTTGTGGTATCTTAGCGCCCTGACCAAGGATCGAGCCCACAGTGCAAGTGCAGAGTCCTAACCACTGGACAGCCAGGGACTTCCCATTTATTTCCCTTGCCTTTGAAAAACCTCGTCTTACTACTAATTCACTCACAAATACTTTTTCACACAGATCACTAACAGATAAGTGCTTTAAAAAACACAATGATACCACTATCACATCTCTTAATATTTGTAGCAATTTCTTAATATTATCTAACACCCAGACTGTGTTCAATTTTCTATTATCTTGCAAATATCTTTTTCTAGTTGGTTTGTTCACATCAGGACCCATCCAGGCTTTGCACAGATTTGCAGTAGGTTCATCTCTATCTGAAGGGTCTGTCCTTCCAAGTGGGCTTGGGTGCTCGAGTGGAGATTCTCTACGGCAGGGGCCCCCAACCTCTGGGATCTAATGCCTGATGATCTGAGTTGGAGCTGACATAATAATAATAATGGAAAGAAAGTTGCACAATAAATATCGTGCCCTTGAATCATCCCGAAACCATCCCCACCCCCATCCGTGGAAAAATTGCCTACCACAAAACCGGTTCCTGATGCCAAAAAGGTTAGGGACAGCTGCTCCATGGGATCAGTCAATTACTGTCACCTGGGAGTTTTTACAAACCACCCCTACCTGGGCCCTACCTGGACCAATTAGGTCAGAGTCCCTGGGGTGAACCAGGACCTGGGTGTTTGCTTCATTCATTTGCATTTACTTATGTATCAGTTAAGCTCCACCCCCACCCCCCCTTGGGGACCCTGGCCTGCTACCAGGGTTAGGAGTCCCTGGAATACTCTTAGGGGTTCTCACTAGCAGTTGTGCGCCGGGATGTCCCCTGGCAATGTCTGGAGATGCTTTTGGTTGTCGCCACTTGGGCAGGGGGCCATGCCACTGACATTCAGTGGATGGCGGCCAGGACATCCTGCAGCCCCCATGGCACAGAGTTAACCAGCCCTGGACACCAAAGTGCTGACATTGAGAAACTCTGATACTGGAGCACCAACCTCGCCGGTCTCAAGGGGCAGAGGCCTCCTGGGGGAGGAAGCAAATTAAACTGGATTCTTTCCATTCCTCATCTCAGCCCCTTACAGCTGACAAAATGCATCCCCCTGGGCCTCCACTCATTAGCCCTGCATCCCTTCCCCCAGTGCTGCGTCGGGCTAAACTCTCCCAGGAGACTGGCCGCTCCCATCTCTGCTTGGGGCAGGAATGCACCTCTCACCTGCTGGGTGACCTCTGTCCTTCCCTCTGCCTCAAGCCCCACTCCTGGGAAACGGAGAGAGCAGGGCTGTCCCGAACCACTGGTGACCTCCAGCCACCGGCACAGGTGGCGCTCAGTCAGCACCGGTCACCCCGTTCACTGCGGTACCCGGTGCCCGACACAGAGCAGATGCTCAAAAGGTGTTTGTAGAAATGAATGGGTCCCCATTTCTCCTTGTGGAAACCGGGGTGCAGAGAAAGCGGGTCTCACAACCAGGCTTTTCAGCCTTGTCCTTGCTTCTATGTGAAAAGTGTGGGTGCCTGCTGCCCCCAGGGGTTCCCCGCTCCTTTGTTGCCATTGTCTCAGGAGACGATGGGGAGCAGGGCTGTCCCACAGCTCCCCAGGGAGAAACAAGGGCACAGGACACTAGCAGCCCACTTTCCCTCCCGAGGCTGGGGTGGGGGCCATCCCCCCCCCCCAACCTTCCTCTGTTTGTGGGGAGGCATGATACATTTCCTGCCTATCATTTTGGACTGGATATGGTCTGGGCACCCAAAATTTTGCAATATTTTTAGGAATGACTCAAACAGAGAACACAGCTGGAGCGCGGAATCAATTTCCTGCGTCCACTGAAGGCATGTCATTGCCCTGCTCCGAGACTCAGTTTCCCTTCCTCTGTTTCCAGAAGGACACAGACCACAGGGCGTGGAGACCTTTCGATTGTTGGATGGAGCTGGCCCGACAGGCTTGTCACAATGATGTGAAAACCACTTGGTGGGGGTGGCTTTGTTCCTCCTGGCACGGTAGGTGCCTGTGAAGGCCTCCTCTCTGTGGGAGGCCTCCGGAGAAACCCATCTGGATACAAGGCCTGTGCACCCACAGGCGGGGAACTGGGCAATTCTTTTCAGCTGGGCGTCCTCAGAAAACCTGCCACCCCCAGCCGGCCACACGGCTAGCTCAGCCCCACAAGTGGGGTGCAAAAGCCTGTGTGGAGAGCCAGAGGGCCAGACGCTAACAGCGGGGCAGCCGTCCCTATGATCACGCGGGTCATCCGAAGCCCCGCAGGCCAGCGACTGGATGGGTGGGAGTTGGGGAGGAGCACGCAGCTAGCACGTCCCCAGGGCCCGGGGCAGGCGGGGAGATGGTGGAGACTCCCTTCTCCCTACTCCCCTTCTCCGCGGCTCGCCGGTGGGGCTAACTCAAGCACAGCCATGTGGTGTGGGGGAACCCCAAGGCCCCACTTCCACCACCCAGGGCTGGGGATGCACAGCCGCAGGGGTCCTGGCACCCAGCCTCGGGCAGGGGAGAACGGTGGAGAGTCCCGCGGCCCGAACTTTCCCCGGGATCCCCCTTCACCCTCCCCCACCAGCCCGGTGAGAGGAAACTAAGAACAGAGTGAGTCCGCGAAGCTGGAGGCGCGGGCGCAGGGCGCGCCCCCGGCTCACTCCCTAGGGAGGCGGCGGGCGGCCCCGCTCCGCCCCAGCGCCGGGCCGTCGGGAGTGCCGGCCCGGGCGGAGCGGGCCCCCAGCGCACTGCCTGGCTCGGGCCATGACCCAAGCTGCTCTCTCCTTTAGACTCGTCGCCGCAGCCCCTCGAGCCCGGCCGTCGCCGCTACGGGCGCCCGGGCGGGGCCCACAGTGAGCCCACCGGGAAGAGGTAAGTGCCTCGCGCCGCGCGCCCCGGGGTGCCCGGCGCTCCCCACCCCACCCCACCCCACCCCTCCCTTTCCTTCTGGAAGACACTGCTCTTTCCCGAAGCCGCAGCCCCGCCGAGCAGCGTCCACGCCCCGCCAGCTGCCGCCGCGGGAGGGCCGTCCCTGGGGAGGACGGGCCCCCATCCCGAGGTGGGGTGCGGTAGGGGACCCTCGCGGGCTCGGACGTCTCCCCCTACTTCTTGCAGACTTTTCTGCGGAGACGCAGGTTTGGGGAAAGTTGGGCCCCCTCTGGCCATGTTGCAACTTACACTGGGCGCGTGGGGAGGTGTGTCCCCGCCCGTGGAAGCCGCCGGTCCCCCAGTCTTCACCTGCCACCCCACGCGGTCACGAGTTCCTGGGGGAATGGGCCAGACCGCCATTCCTGAAAGCTGGAGAGGAGCCCGGCCGGGGGTGGGGGCAGGAGGCCTGGAGAGGAACCATTTCCCCTCTATCGAGTATTTCAGAATGTATTATTTATGAACCGCCTCACTTAGGGGCCCCCTTCGCTCCCAGGGCATCAAAGCAGGTTTGCAACCGCAAAGGGCGACCAGTGCGAACGCGCTCGCCCACTTGCCCGGCCCGCTGAGCTCAGCGGAACTGGGGGGAGGCACTCCTCACTCAGGTGGACCCGCAGCCCGGCTCGGCGCCCCCCCCGGTGGGCGGGGTCAGGGCGGAGGGGACCTCTCTCAGACTTCCCCAGGCTGTTAGGCCGCGGCGGAATCCGAAGTCTGTGCTGGCTGAGCCTCCTTAGCTCGCTGAGAATGGGGAGGAAGAGGCAGGGAGGGCAGCCTGGAGAGGGCCCCCCTGTGATTGGTGTAGCTTTTGTGGAACAAACACCCCATTTTACAGATGGGGAAACTGAGGATCCCAGAGGCGCACCCGGATTGGCAGGCTAGGGAGGGGTGGTGTGTCTCCTGCAGAGCCCCCAGGGGTGCTGGGGGGGAGCCCCTGGCCCAGGCTGGGTCAGCTCCAGAAAGCAGCCCCTTACCTGTGCAGGCCACACCCACCATGGGTTCCCTGTCCCCACCCTGGATGGGAGGGAGTCCGTGTATTTATGGAAAGACTTAATCCCTCTGCAGGCCCCAAGGAGGCGGAAAGCTCCGCCAGCCTAATCTCCTCTCCCTGGAAGCCTTTCCCTTGGCCGTGGGTTGCCCTGGGTGGGCCCTGAGCCCCGGGTTGAGATCACCTCTGGAACTTCCCCTCAATGGCCACGGAAAGAGAGCAGTGCTACTTCATGTTGATTGAGCCCTGCCTGCTGGTACCCATCACCTGCATTTTCCGTTTGCCTTCTCTGACCTAATACTGTTGTTATCCCCATTTTACAGATGAGGACACAGAGGCTTATAAAGATCAAGTGACTGATCCAAGGTCACGCACCAGGGCGGGCGGGTAAGTGGCGAGGCCTAGCCTTGAACCCCTAGCCCTCATAGTGTAGGATCAAACAGTGTAGGCAGACCTTCCCCTGTGAAAATAATGTGTTATATATGTACAATAATGTGTACACCCAGGAGCCCGCTCATAACTGACACATCCATAGCCTCCCCTCCGAGCCTGTGGGGGATTGTGTGTGTCCCACAGACAGTGCCACATGGTAGTTACTTTTTATTTGGGTGCAGAGAAAGCAGTAGTTTAGTTTTCTGTTTGCGCTGCAAACCTGAAGAGGGTGAGCTGGCCGGCAGGAAAGCTAAGGGCTAATAGTTTGCAACTCCTAACTTCAAGGCTGCTGTAAAAAGGATGACATGTTTTCTAATTAGCCCCATGATTAGTTAACTGTTAGCCTAACTTCTAATAGAATACCCCTTATTTTTAAACATTTTTACTGATGTGTAGCATATGGAGAGTTACACAAACTGTACGTCTTGAATTTGATCTCAGGCTCAGAGGGCCAAGTATCATGCTCACATTTACATGGCCAATCAGTGAAAGACCACAGCTTGACCCTGGGTGGCCCAAGACCGTGCCCCGTGACAGCAAGGCAGGTGCAGGCTTTAGTGGGCACCTTGCCTTCCCTGCAAGCCCATCGTCTTTCACTTCCTCTGGGTGAGCAGCTGTGGGCCAGGCAAGTGCCCCCTGTGGGTCTGTGGCCTAAAGCCCAGGAGAGGCTCATGTTTGCATTCTGTGTACCAGAAAGGGAGGCATGTTAACGCTTGTAGCATCTGTTCCCAGCGCAGTCCCTTTGGCTGCTATTGTAGGAATTCTAATCCTGAAAGGAAAGTACCTTTTTTAAAAAGGAAGGAAACCAAGATGTGTCCTAGGCCTGCTGGGAGCCCTGCTTGGCCAGTCTGTCAGTAGGTCTTCCCTGCTTTGCAGTAAGGGAACCAGCCCGAGAGCTGGTCCCGGGCTCCCCCAGCTGGGAGGGGAACCTGATTCCATCTGGTCTGGTGGGTCCACCCACCTAGGCAAACTGTCACATTCTTCTGCTATGAGTCTCCACCCGTGCCCTCTCCTCCGTCCTCCAGCAAGGTCTTGGTTAAGGGAGTGAGGCTCTGGGCTCCTGTCAAGTCACGAGCTCCACGGGGCTCTTCTGATTCCGTCTGGGGGGTGACTCCAGAGACTCTGATCAGGCTGCTAGCCCGACTCTGCCGTTCACTGACTCCCTCTCTAGTCCGCCACGGGCCACAGGCCTCATCTGGGAGACTCAGGTGGCCACCTCCATGTAGGGTTGCTAGGTTTAGCAAATAAAACTAAAGGCTGCCCTGTTCCATGTGAACTGCAGAAAAATGATGGAGAATGTTTAGTAGGAGTCTGTCCCGTACGGGAGTTGGGCATCCTGTATTTTATTTGGCAGTCTTTTTCTCTGACCGCTCCCAGTTCCAGAGATCTGATTCATCCCAGGAGGGGTTTACTTCATCCCCTGCAGCCCAAACTCCATGATCTCCAAAAGCAGAAACCGAAGGGAAGCTATTAGCAGATCCCTTGTGCCCTGAGTGGTTCTGATGTGTTCCACGGGCAGTGCTACATCTTTAGTACTTTACACTTTGTGCAGAGAACACATTAGTTTGCTGTTCTCTTTGCATCAGGAACCTGCAGGGAGTGGGCTGGCGAACACTACCCTGCTGTGGGCTGGTAGTTTGGGGCTCTTATCTGCAAGGCAGCTATAAAGACAGTAAGAGACATCTTGGCCAAGGGTGTCCTCTGCCCTGGAGCTGCCCAGGCTTCAGAGGGGCCATAAGGGGCCATTTGGTGTGCAGAGTGGCCAACATCCATCTCTCTGGCCACTGCTCAGGGGAGAGGCAGACCTCTGCAGGAGGAAGTAAGTTTTTATCCCTCACTGCCCATCCGTGTCACCAGAGAGGGTTCTGTCATGACCGTTTGGCGGTAGGGAGATTCTTATGCCCGAGTGCAAGAAAGGACCTGTTTTAACTCAAGCTGTTGTGCAAATAATTAACAGCCTGATATTTTGAAGGGACCATAAACAGAGCCTGATTCGATATGAAAGGGTGGTTTTTCACACTCCTGCAAATGTGTGAAAGAGAGAGAACATTTATACCTAAACGTGCGGTTCTCTCTGGCCTGACGGCTTACCTACCTTCTTGCCAAGCTAAGGGGGCCCCTCCCATGGAATTTTTTCTTCTCACCCATTAAACCTTTATTTCCTAATTGCATAAATGTGTGTCTTCCGGGTATAGACCTCAGCATGTAGAATGATAGACATAGAAACCATGGGGTGCAACTGACCTGGCTTTGAGCTCTGGCCTCCCAGAGCTGCTGCCGGACCGCCCGGAGTTCCACTCCGTCATCTGTAAGCCAGGGATGCAATGATGTTATCTCGATGGGTGTTGTCAGGTTTAGGAATTTTTGTAATGAACTCAGCCTCTTGAAAGCATTAGCTTGACATCTGTGTCAATGGTGAGGATGAAGTTTAGGGGGACGTAGCCCGCTCCCCACAGTCACGTGTCCATATGGCTTCCATTTGGACAGATGAACATCCCGTCTACCGGGACTGTCTCCCGCAAAGGTACCTGCCATCTTAGGGGCAGCCCCGATCACCAAGGGAGTGGAGTGGATGGGGCGCTGTCCACGGTCCTACATAAACCACCCTGGGGAGCGCCTCCTCCTTCTGCTATAACAGGCTACACCTTGGACTCGGGGACCGCATGGCAGGCCGCCCCCTGGTTCTCTTCCCACGTAGTGTCCCCACAGGCTGCTAAAGGGTGACACCGTCACGTTGACAGATGATGATGATGGTGACGACGGCTCCAGGCCCTGTGCTGGAGGCTGGGTCAGGATGCCTGTTCTATAACTGAGGACATGGAGCCGGAGCGGGCCGGGTGGTGAAGCCTCAGCATCTCAGGCTCAGAGAGGAAAATGACTGGCCAAAGGTCACACCTTCTGCACAGACTCCTGGTTTCTCTCAGCCCCTCCCAAGGCCACTTCATTCTTCCTGCCCTTGTGGGGTGTTACAGCAACGTGGATGGGAAAGAGAAAGATCGGTTGGTGAAAACTCCGTTTGGAAGTTTTAGAAACCAGAAATAGAATCATTCCACCTAACCCTGACCTCACCATGTGACGTTTGCTTGACCCTCGCACAGCTCCCCGTCCCCCGGTGTCTCCTGGATCCAGGCTGTCAGCTCCTCCTCCTTCCTTAACTTCCTTCCTTTTTTCCCTGAATGTTAGGAGATAGGTATTTTTCAAGTCACAGGACAGCTTTAGCGACAAAACCTATCCATTCAGGACAGTTTTCTGGGAGGAGCAGTGTAACAGAGCACCGTCCATGAGCCAGAGCCGCGGTCCCTGGCCACCCCTCCGGCCACATCGGAGATGGGGTAGGGGAGTTGGATGTGATGCTCCCACTGCATTCTGCTGCTACCGGGGCGGGGGGCGGGGGTGTTCCGTGGAGTCTGGGTAAATAACTGCTCTCTGCTTTCCCTTGCTGAGTGCTTCCCTTGAATGTTTCGAGTTTCAGAAAAGTTACAAGAACAGCAGAAGCTAGTGTATATCCTTCACTGGAAGTGAACATGTAGCCATGGTTGCTTCATTAGCTTGGATTTCTGGCCAGACTCTGAGAGTGAAGCTGCAGAAATGATGGCCCGGGACCCTGAACACCCCAGTGTGTGTCCTCAGAGCAGGGACCGCCTCTTACAAAACAGCCCAGCCATCAAAATCACAAAACTCCACCACAGCCCCATGCCGTCACCTCCTGGACAGGTGTCTTTCTTTTGACCATTTTGCTACTTTTCAAACTGGAGACAGAAGCATGTTGTGAACGCCTGTGTCCCAGCGTCAGTCGCAGGCAGGGCAGCACCCCGCACCCTCCACGCCTCTGCTGCTGTTTCTCTGTTGGGCTTTACAGCAGAGTCCTGCCTTCGCTTCGTCAGTGTGGGCTTCAGTGTGAATCACTGTCGTGTAGCCCTGGGGCGGGATGTGTTGTGTACGCTGTTGGGTGGGCGGTGGCCAGCACGTACCCCAGACAGAATGGACGAGCGTGGACTGTGAGATGAGTTCACTGCATGGCTGTGATGTGGTGTGGCCAGCAGGGGCCCTGGGAGGTTGCTGTGGCCCTGACCTCAGGGCCACAGACCCCTGGGCAAGAGACCCACGAGAGAGATGGGAGGGGAGCTCTGGGGTTGAAAGCGTAGGCTTGGAATCCCTGCCCCACCACCTGCTCCTCATGCAACCTTTCTGCAGGTTAACTAACTTACCGGTGCCTCAGTTTCCCCATCAGCAATGTGGGGATCGGAATGGCCCCAGTGTCACCAGTCTATCGTGAGGCTTAAATGACCGTGAATGGAAGCGCTCCGGAGGGCACTGGGCACAGTGTGGGTGCTCGAGAGAGGCGCCCCTCCCTACCCCACAGGCCATTTTTGGGGCTCTCTCTTCCTTCAGCGCCGCCCCCCCACCCAAGGAAGGGTACACTCTCCTGGCAGCCCATCCCGCCCGTTTGAATTGCCCTGCCCCTGCCTCCAGAGCTTTGGAAAAGCCCAGTCCAGACCACACCCCAGTCCAGTGGGGAAGCTCTGGGGGAGGGACCCCCTGCCAGGCTCGTCCCGGCCAGGGAAGCTGCAGCCCCAGGCCTACTCCAAGTAGGACGTGCTTCCTCTACACGCAGCCGTCCTGACTGTTCCCATCCATGTTGTCCGCCCCTCTTGGCCTCTCTCTCCGCAGTCCACCCCCCACCTGCCCACAAGTCCAGCCTGGCTAAAGTTGGAGCCTTTGCCCTGGCCCCTCCTCCAGACTGACCCCTCCTGGGGTCCCACCATCTCACCAGCCTGTGCCTCACCCCAGCTTCCAGCAGCTTCTCCCCCGCACCATGGCTGCCCCGCCTTCTCCAGTGCTCAGACTCTGTGGTTTCTGGCCCAGAGCTGAGCATCTGGGTCCCATGGGGCCTTGTTACAACGCCGATTCCGGCTCAGTGCACCCAGGTGGGGCAGAGAGCCTGCACTGTTAATGAGCTCCTGGGGGTGCCGAGGCTGCTCCTAGCAAGGCCTGGAGTGGGGGCTGGCCTGCACAGCCCGCTGGAATTCGGAAGCTACTACATGTGCTCAGGATAACCCTCCACTGTGTCACCAGCCTCCAGAGACCCCGCGGTGCAGCTCAGCCTGGGCCCTTCTGTGGCCTGTTCCTCCGGTGGGCCACACCCCCACGCGTCCTCTGGGCCACTGAGCATTCTGTTCCTGTAGCCTGGGGGTTTCCCGCTTGGCTGGCTCCTGCCTTTGGGGACATGGTCCCCAGGCCTCCCAGGCTGGGACCGGAACCCTCCTCTGGCCTCCTGGCCTCAGGTGCAGGGTCCCGTTTGGCCTTGTATCCACTTGTGTCTGGTCTCACAAGACCAGATGCCAGGATGGGAAATGTGTAAGAAATATATTGAGGAAAGTAGAGGAGGGGGCTGGGAGGCCTGGACCCAAGGAACGAGGGAGGAGGAGACAGCAGGATGGGTGGGGGCACGCACGGACAGTTGGCCAAGCCAGAGTCAGCCGTCAGGGCGCCTGTCTCAGATCCCAGCCTCCCATCCAGGCTTGCAGTGCAAGGGAGGTGGAGTCCTGTGGGGCGCTGCTCATGGCCACCCCCCGGCCCCTGGTGTCTTCCTGCGAGTGCAGGAATCCCCATCTTCAGCCTCTCAGAGCCCCGAGCACCACCCCCCTGCAGAGCTTCACAGACCCCTGTGGGGGGGCCCTCACGGGGGTCAGGGCAGTCCTGAGTTGGAACCCCAGCTCCACTCCTAGTAAGCTGTGTGGCCTCAAGTAGCCACCACCCCCTCTCTGAGCCTTGATTTTCTCATCCATAAAGTGGGGACGGTGATAGCACCTCCCAGGGTTGTTACAGAGTCAAATATCAGGAGACCATGAGCTGCTGCCTGTTTCTCCAGCAGCTCCTCAGAACACCCACCTTGCAGGGATATGGTGGGAGATTTTAACCCCCATGGACCAAGGACTGGGCTCTTTTCAACCGTTAGGATGTGAAAGAATTTGCATTTTAGGAGAGGAGGCCTCATTTGAACAGAAGGCACACCACACACATCACGGGGCTCAGGGCCACCCTGCAGCCCCACCTGGGGCCCTCTTACCCCCGGAACAGCCACATGCTGGCCCCTGGAAGGCAGGGTTCTGCCCCATCACCTGGGCCAGACCTCTACTTACAGCTTCACCAGCTCGGCCGCCGCACCGGGCCTCCCTCCAGCGTGTTCAACTTTGAGACGCCTGAAAGTTTTTTCCACCAGCACACGCTCGTCTCTGAGCAAATTCAGCCCAGATGTAGCCGGCAGGCGCCGTGACCTTGGCCGCGGTTTCTCTCCGCTGCTGCTTCCTGTTGTGCACCCATCAGGCCGGGTGGGGACCTGGCCACGCGTGGCCGATACAAACAAGCCTCTCCTCTCTCCCCAGGCTGCAGAGGCGCCGACATGGGGCTGAAGCTGACCTGCCTGAAAGGTAAGCGGGCAGCTCTCTCCCTCCAGCTCTTCATGGGGGTGCCCGGGGGGAGGTGAAGTGAGGCCCGAGACAGGGTAGACCCTGAGACCCCGGTGGTGCTGCCCTGGACTGGAGGGGGGCGCCTCCACTAAAGGCAGCACCGGTACACAGCAGGCGCTGTGTAAGTGTGTGCTGTGACTCTGAGTGCTCCTCCAGGCCTTTCTTTCCCTGGAGCTGAGTGATGGGGGGACGTTGCAGTGCCCCCCCACGCCTCGGTTGCCCCCCCCCTCAGAGGGATGCACTCCAGGCTGTGCAGGGTCAGGGGTAAGGGGCCCTGCAGGAAGGTGCTGGGGTGCGGTGTGGGGGGGGTTTGCTGTCCACCCCGAAGGCCTGTTATCACGACGCAGGTGGTGAGCTAGGTGGTCCCACCTGCTAGGGGCCGGGCAAGGAGGGCTGGGAGAGGGGCAGGGCCGGCAGGGGGAGAGTTCCAGGATGCAGAATCATCAAGGGGTGTTGCAGGTGTTGGTTGAGGCAGCCCAGACCTCTGTCTTCTGCCATGGACCCTTCCATCCAGCGTCCGGATGTCCCAGGGGCACCTCAGACCAACAGAGCCCACAGGAAACTTGTTATTGGGGGACAGATGCTCCCCCCCATCTCCCCAGCCTAACATCTGGGAGTCACCCTGACGGCTTCTCGCCCATGTGCAACATGCTCGCCAGCTCTGACTCCCCTCCTGCTGGCTCCTGCTCTGTCCCTCTGTGATAGGAAGTCCTCGGGAGGTACTGAAGGGTCCCCCCAGGGGTGAGGGACCAGCCTTCAGGTCCTGCTGCTGGGATGAGAGGTCCCAGGAGAGCCCCTGGGTGGCCATCAGTGGGGATGGAGGCATCTTGATGGACCACTCCTCCAAGACCAGTGGGGAGCAGCGGTGGAGAGTGGGGAGCAGCAGTCCCCATGCAGGAGTCAGGGGAGGTGCTTGCTGAGCGGGCGTCCAGGAGAGTAGGGTCCTGTGGTTGGGTCCAGAGACCGAAGCCTTGGGGCTCAAGAACGCTCTTCCCTTAGACCGTGCTGGGCACAGAATAGGCGTTCGGGACAAGCTTTCAGTTCTGGTTGGTAGTTGTGGTAAAATAGACGTAACATAAAGTTTCCCCTGTTAAGCATTTCTAAGCATACAACCCAGTGGCATTGAGTGCATTTACGTTGCTGTGCAAGCGTCACCTCCAGGGCTCCTCCGAATTCTCCCGCTGAAACTCTGTCCGCATTAAACATGAGCCCTCCCTCCCTCTCCCCAGAGGCCTGGCCCCCACCACCTACTTTCTGTCTCTCTGAAAGTGCCCACTGGGGTGCCTCCCTGAAGCAAAGCGTATGGCCTCTGCCCTTTTGTGTCTGGCTTCCTTCAAACTCAGCGTGGTGAGGAGGCTTCGTCCGTGTTGTGGCAGGTGTGTCCGGACCTCCTTCCTTTTCAAGGCTGAGTAGTAGTCCGTGGTGTGTGGGCCACGTTTGGTTTGTTCAACCCTGGATGGACGCTGGGCTGCCTCCAGGTTTGGCTGTTGTCTGTCTTCGATAAGCCAGGACGCTGGAGGGGCCTCCAGGAAGCAGCTCCCGCCCCGCCCGAGGCTGGGGGTCGGGTGGGGAGGAGGTCCAGCAGCCGCAGGTGCTGAGAAGCCCTGGGAGGAGCCCCCCCACCACACCCCCACCAACAGGACTGAAGCCCGGGTGGGCGGCAGGCTGAGTGCTCCTGGGCTGGGAGCTTTTAGAAGGGCCCCGGAGGAGTTAAGTGCTGGAAGGAGTGTGGGAGCGAGGGGTGCTCATGCATTTTTCATTGCTGGCTCTCCGGGGCCCACCCATCACCCTCTCCCACCCTCAGCCGCATCTAGCCTTGGTCTCTGGAGGTGACGAGGCCCACACAGGCTTGGGTGTGACTCAGGACATGGGATGGGGGTGGGGCGGGGCATAGAAGCCCTCTCCCTGGGCTTGACGAAGACCACCCAGGTCCTCCACCAGCCCTGGGGCCTTGGGCCCTGCCCCTGTTGGAGCCTCATTCTTACAGCAGACTGCCGAGGGCTGGGTCCCGCACCCCTGACATCCGCAGTCGTCCGCGTCCGTCCAGGCCGTGTCACTTTCACAGTGCTTGAATGCCTCTGTTCAGTTCAGCTGAGAATGGGTCTTTGGGTCATTTCCGGCATGCTGCTTTTGTGGATAATGTCATTTTGAACATCTCTGCCCTGAGTACTGGTTTATTTGGCTGCCCTGGGTCTTCGCTGCGGCACGTGTGATCTTTCAGTTGCAGTTTGCGTGATCTAGTTCCCTGACCAGGATTTGAATGCAGGTCCCCTGCTTTGGGAGTACAGACCACCAGGGAAGTTCCCACTTTATGAATTTTTTAAATTATTATTTCTTTGGGATAAATTCCAGAAATCAAGATGATCTAGTCAAATAATAAGGGTAAATGGTGGCATCTTCCTGGGGGCTTGGCCCTGGACAAGGCTCTGGTCTGTGCATTCTGAGTGGAACTGTGGCTCATCCATCCCTCCTCCCACTGTGAAGTGGGCATTCTGGGATCCCCAGTTTCCAGATGAGAAAGCTGAGAAACAGAGAGGTCATGTACTTGCCTGGGGCCATACAGCAGGGACCCAGGTGGGGTTTGAACCCAGGCAGTCTGTCCCAGAGGCCTAGCTTTAGCCACCACTGGCATGGCCTTTTCAGAGGAAAGCCTTTTAATTCAGCGCTTGAAGTGACCACAGTCACCCGAAACTTTATTCACATGGTCTCTTACATCTTCACGTGAATCCTAAACTTAGTTCATCTTAACATTAACTCAGATGGTGTCTTAAGTTAACTCAAATGGTGTCTTAAGTTTCCACTGTAACAGATTATCACAGACGGTGGGAGGGGGTGGGAGAGGGTGGGTGCGCGGTGGTTCAAACCACAGAAGTCTCTTCTTGTTTTCTCCCAGTTCTGGAGGCCTGAAGACTGAAACCAGAGTGGGCCATGTTCCCTCTGGGGGCTCCAGAGGTGGGGTCTTTGCTGCGTCTTCCAGCTCTTGGGGGCTCCAGGCGTCCTTGGCTTGTGGCCGCCTCCCTCCAGCCTCTTCCTCTGTCTCCACACAGCCTCCTCCTTGTGTGTCCCTGGGCCCTTTCTCTTAGAAAGACATCCCTCTGCTTTTGTCTTACGAAAACACCAGTCTTTGGACTTAAAGTGAAAAGTGAAAGTGAAGTCGCTCAGTCATGTTCAACCCTTTGCGACTCCATGGACTGTCGCCCATGGAATTTTCCAGGCAAGAGTACTGGAGTGGGTTGTCATTTCCTTCTCCAGGGGATCTTCCTGACCCAGGGACCAAACCCAGGTCTCCTGCACTGCAGGCAGAGGCTTTACCTCTAAGCCACCAGGGAAGCCCAGTCTTTAATACAGGATGATTGCATCACAAGATCCTTCACTAATTACGTCGGCAAAGAACTTATTTCCAAATAAGGTTGGAGTTTGCAGTCCTGGGTGGGCGTGGATTGGGGGGGACTCTCCTCAAACCCACCAAATGTTACTTCACCTCTGAGCCTTCTGCGTGGGGGACAAGAAGGCAGTTCTCTGTTTTAGTTTTAGAACGTGCTCATTGTCTGGCTCAAGGTGGGCGATCGCAGCTCAAGGTGGGCGATCACAAGAGTGTGACATCTGAGGGCTGTGCCAAAGTCCTTGTGTTTCTGGTTCCAAAGGAGCGTGGGGACACTTTGAACGGGCTCCATGTGCTCAAGGCCCAGCCATAGCAGCCGTGACCTGTGGGCATGGTCCACTGCCTCCCTCCTTCTCGTGTAAAGGCTGGTGTGTCCTGGGCATCCCCCCCCGTCACTCACCTCGTCCTCACTGTGTCTGCACAACGTAGCTAACTTTACAAATGGGGAGACTGAGGCACAGGGACATGGGCTCAAGGCCCTAGGGCGGGTCGTCAGGGCTTGGCCCAGCAGACGGCACATGAGGGTGGCGAGGGGTTTCCCTGGTTTGTGAGCAGTTCTGTCCTGGTCAGCCTTGACGGTGGGGTACTGCCAGAAATCAGCACGGTGGGGCCCTGTGGTTTTCAGCGGGGATCCCCAGCCTGCAGTCTCAGCACCACCTGGGAACCAGACAAAGGTGAGAATTCTCGGGACCCACTTGGACCTGCCGCATCAGGAGCTCCGGCATTTCTCGCACTCTCTCTGAGGGATTCCAGGACATACTCAAGGTGGAGAACCACTGGCGAGGTGACTCCGGAGTCAGAGAAATTGGGTTCAAATCCCAGTCCTGCCCCCAACCACTTCACATGCCCAAGCCTCAGTTTCCCCATCTGTAAAATGGAGTGATGAGTGGCAGCATCTCCTGGACCAGGTGTCAAGAATGATCTGAGATGAGTGCTAGAGATGGTGCCCCCGGGGTTCCTGGCCCTGCACGCCTTCCCTCTCTGGAGGAGCTCCAGCTCCAGCTTTGTGGGGACCTTGCCGGGGGTGGGGGGTGTGCAGGGGGCAGGTAGGGTAGGGGAAGTTAACCTTCAGGTGTGGCCTTTCCCATTGGGGCCTCCTCGGGGGCCCGGTGTGGCCTCTGGGACTCCCCCAGAGTTTGCTGGCTCCAGCCCCAGCCAACTTCATCATCACCATGGAGACGGGATCCAGAAGATGAGGCTGGTCCCAGGGGACTGTCCTTCTGGGGCCAGGCAGGAAAGGGCCAGGAGATGGAGACTTTGTCCAGGTTTGTTGTTTGGTTCATTTGTTAGAATAGGCTTTATTTTTTAGAATGGTTTTAGATTTGTATCAACAGAAAGATTGTGAAGAGAGTACATGGTTGTCATACACCCCACAACCAGTTTTTCAGGTAGTCAGCATCTTACATGAGTATGGTATGTTCTTTATGGCCAGAAAATTGATACCCATCCATGATTTTAACTAAAGTGCATACTTCATCCTGATTTCCCGGTTTTTACCTGGGTCTATCCATGGATCTGATCCGGGACCCACCTTACATTTAGTCATCGTGTGTCCTCAGGCTCCTCTGGGCTGAGCCAG